GCCATTACACTCATGGTCATGTTGGGACTGATGTGGGTTAAAATAAGCCTCAAGAAATTCAAAATGTCCACCAAATCTGTGCATAATGGGAACCTCATGACATATTGAAATTGATTGAAGAGAACATAGATTTCATGCTAAAAAATAATGTTTGGAGTCTCTTCCTTCTTGTGTAATCTCGAAGTCTTTACATTATCAAATACAAACATAGACTAAGCTTGTTATAGCAGTTCATCATCCGTTGGAAGACTCTTTTATTGTCATACTGATGAGACATACAAACTATTCATCTCTAACCCTAATGCCATCTCAAATCTTTAAGTTGAGAGACACAACAAAGCCGGAAATGCTCCAAAAGAATAAACAAGAAGAGTAAAACTTTTCTTTTTTCCTTCTTTCCCTGGATATATAAAAAATGCAACCTGCTAATTTATATACACGTAATAAGAATAATGCGGGCCTAATTTGTATATTTACTATTGTATCTGTTGTGTGTATTTTGTAATATATTTGTATAAAACTATTGAAATATATTTGCAAAATTAACACACTAAATCCACCCACATCAATCGCTCAAGTAATAAAGGGCTCTAATGGAGTCCTAAGTATCGATCCTATAAGGAGAAGGTTAAACTCTTATTTAAATTAAAAGGACCTAAATAGATAGTATATAAACTACAGCAGCTAAAGTTAAATGTGAAATGAAAGTCTAACGAAACTAAATCTACTATGCTAATTTTGCAAACCTAAAAGTTAAATCTAATATAGGCAAGTAAATTAATTTTAATGAAGGTTTCAAATTTAAGAAAAGTATCTTTCCCATTTACAATAAGGTTGTAGCTAGTGAATAATCAAATCTATTATTAATTTCATGTGACAATCAGGAACAATAATATCCTTTAATCTTCTGGTTAAGCGATAAAGGACATTGACTAATTCAAATATTTTGAATCCACATCTATGGTTGGGTTGAGAGGATACTGGCTCCCACTCTAGAGCTCTCATTTCTCCTCCACCTGAGGGCTAACAATCTCACCATATGGTTTCTAAACATCTAAATTAAATTGTTAATTTTAGTCTGTCACCCTAAAATCACCAATTCTACACCCATAAAGCAATATTTTTCTATTTATTTACACTCAATCCCATGAAGACTTCACTCTTCCATGACATTAAAGTGTGATCCCTACTTGAATGCTGAAAACATTGTCATCTCGGCTCTTATGTTTTGGCATAGATTTTAACAAATCAATTGGCCGGATTGAAAAGTAAACGAAGTTCAAGATGAATCATCATAATTTAATAAATTAAGATTATTTTCAAATAACTATTGATTATTCACATCACTATTTCTTACTGTAAAGAGAAAGACAAAGCAACTATTCAGAATTCATGGAGAAGAAATAATAAAACATGAATTTATATATATTGAAATAAGTTTACACAACACAAAATTAAAGTAAACAACTTATCTTACTCTCCTCCACAAGAAAATCCACTGAAGTTCCTTTGAATCACATCCTTCTACTTAAAATGATGTGCACCCCTATTTAAGGATTGCAAAGAAGAAGAAATCTCTCACTTTTCCTCTCCTCTTACAATTCTTAAAGATAAATCTCTCAAGATCTCTCAAAAGAAACTAAGTATGGAAGTTTTGCTCTCTTCTTCTTTTCTCCTCCTTCGTCCCCCATTCTTTATCAAAAATGGTGATTAAATAATGTGTGGCTGAAAATTCAAGAGTTCCCTTAAGCACCCCTTCAAAATTCGGCCAAATTCAATGCATTTTACAAAATAACCATTTCGGTGTTATTTTGGCACTTACTGGTGCCATTCGATGCTGGTTGTGCTTCATACAGGTGTTCTAGCGTCAGTTCTGGTGCCATTCGGTGCCAAAGCATTTCTTTGTCTTTTATACTTCAAATTTCATCATTTTTGCACCTTTTTTATCCAAATCCCCAAAATTGAGTATACATGCATCAAAAACATAAAAATATCTTTTTTTAAACTGCAAATTCATAAAAAAATGACCAAATATAGGCATTAACAATATATGAAAAATTGAACTTTTTTTTGGTGCATCAAAGAAGTACAACAGGTGTGGACCCCAACAAAACTATAAAAGACATAATATAAAAATGTTGATAACACATTCTTAGACATTCAGACAGTTAAAGCCAACATCTAGAGAACAAATTTTTTGCTTCGAAAACTAATGTTTCCACAAGTATAAAGTTATAGTATAAAATCAAGGATTTCAGCATAATATAAACCACATGATTATGCACAAAAAAGATATAAAAATCCCTTTTAATATTCTCTACACGGATGACTCTCTGCCAAAGAAGGCATCATAGTACTAATTAGACCTCAGCCACAAAATTGTAAGGATTGCCTAATTTTAGGCCTTCGCAAACACACACCAATTCAGCCTCCAGGGTCTCTAAACTTCAACTGGCATCGACAAATTCCTCTTTACTTTGTTAGGAAAAATCCAATTTGGCCTCCATAGCCTCTAATCTCCATGGAGTTTCATCACATCCTTTTCAAATTTATCCCTTCACTTTTGCGACATTAAATCAACAACTAGTTCTCTAACTCCCAAATTAGCTATGCATCCTTTCATGTCCATGAGTTCACCCCCTAACACAACGACATGGTCTGTCAGATTATCTCAAATTTTTTAGTGTGGGATGAAACTAGTTATGGGACTGAGCTATGGTGCAACTTCTACTACCAAAGTCCGAAGCTCTCCGGTAGCTAGACTTGTATCCTCTTCGATAGCCTAAACATTAACAGAGTTGGCATGGGGTCATAATTTTAGTAGTGCCCATCTTAGGTTCTCATCATTTCAATCGATTGCCATTTTTTAAAGCAATAGTGTCTTATAATAATCAAGGAAAAGAGCATTAGAATGATAAAATTTCATCGTGTTTCCTTTCAGGAATAGACCATCACTTTTTTTACTCATGCTTCTTCCTCAATACATACATCTTAGAGGGACCTTCCATTTTTTATAAGGGGTCTCCAAATATCATTCCTGAGGGAGGTAGTCGCTCCACAACCACACCTGCATTACCATAAAAACATATGATATATTGCCATAAAAATCTGCCGTAAAAATCATAATTTAAAGGGTTAGAAAGATAAAGATCCTCACCGACAAAGTCAAGCTAGACGAAAACTATCGCATTGGATCATATTGTTCCTTGATCACATCAGAAAGATAAAGATCCTCACCGACAGAGTCAAGCTAGACGAAAACTATCGCATTGGATCATATTGTTCCTTGATCACATCAGAAAGTGGACCCTCAACCAAATTATTCAAATTGAATAAGATCTTCCCCGTTGAACAAGATTCATATAAAGGTGGTGAAACTTAATCCCCTAGACTATCCCTCCACATCGCCTCAATGAAGGGATCCAAAGAGCTCACAACCTTTAGCAACGAAATCAAAGAAGGACCTACCTCTGAAATGTTACGTCCCATGAAAACTTTGATCTTTTTCTGAGATTCCTATTCTCTCTTTGATGGAGCCAACTGCTTCCTACGATGGGGGTTCTCTTCTATGTGGGGTTGCGAGGTTTCATTTCAAATTTCAAGATCTTGCTCATGGCTATATCAAGCTTATCAAAGTAGCATAACATTTTTTTTTTTTTTTTTTGAAAATGCAAGGCTCATACTTCTTTCTCAAAACCTTGAAGGGGGTATGTTTATAAAAGGTTTTGAACTACCACAAGTAAGATTATTTATGAATCAACTAACTTATTGTATCTTTTTTCCTTAGACAACTCAAACGGTAGAGGGCAAGAGCAAGAATATTGATCTTAACTGAACAAAATACTCATCATCAATTAAATAATCTAAATCCAATTATTCATGAGGTTCATGCCTTCACGGATCTCAACTGGCTGAACTTAAAAAATTAAATAACTATTTCCCATGAAAGAGCCAAGGCACCTGAGGATGAAGCAGGTTTCCTGCATTGGCACTACTCAATAGACTACTCCCTATAGGTGAAGCACAAAGTGCTCTCCGACGAAGGTCGGTCCTAATTCTCTAATGAGAGTGAATGACTTAATTCATCATAGGAAAGATGACGAGTCTCATGGCTTAAATGTTCCATTTTAATGAAATGCATTGAGTTTTTACCTCAAAGTTTCCTAATGTTAAGTCATTTAGAATTGGGAAAAGCCATAGGTATGCACGACAGCCGAAAGGTATTCATTATCTTGTTATTCTGGCATAAATCAATTGAAGGGTCAAGAGAATCAATGAAGCTATATATATACACAAATACAACTATATAGGATTTGTTATGCATATTCTATAGCCCTATTTTTTAAGTGGTTGAACAGAGAACACCTGCTAAAGTGGTTGAACTGAGCTCACCTGCCGAAGTAGTTTAACGAAGCCTATTTGTCAAAATTTGATATTAAATTCATAATCTTTTGATGTCTATGCAAGAAAAGTTTGTCATCATTTAAAATTTAATTGCAACAAAATGTTAGAAGTAATTATAAAGCCTTTGATGTTATTGATGAAGTGGGAAAGTTTAGATCTTTGATACGTAAAGAAAGAAGAATTATTTGGTATGTATATAACTTAGGGGTGTAACCGAGCCAAACTAACTCGTGAGCCAACTTGAGATTGGCTTGATAAGCGACTCATGGGCTGAGCTCAATGAGATAAATAGTCAAGCTCAAGCCCTACCTAGCTAGACTCATAAGCTCATCACTTGACTCAAGCCCTCCCTAGCTTGGCTCTTCTAAAAAAAATATTAATATAAATATACTCAAAATAAATTAAAGTTTAAAATTTTATCTTTAAATTATTAAAAATATAAAAATAATGCTTAATTATTTATACTGTCATTTTTTTATTATTCCTCTTTTAATTAGCCGGCCTATTTATATTGTCATGAGTAAATTCAAACTCCTAAAATTAGTCTAGCTGAATTAATTAATCAAACCGCAAAATGTAAGGAATGGCATTTCCGGGATTCCACTTGACAAATCGTCACGACAATTGGATAAAACGTCGCTCCCACTCCCCGGGCCATGTCTGTCGAGCGAAAACAGGCAAGCGAAGGAGATACTGTCTCCGGCCTAGAAAACGGCGAACGGATACTGTAGCTCAAGTCATCAGCGGAGGATTGAGCGACCTGAAAAACGATGGCTAGGGTTCTGAGGACTCCCATCTCGGCGGCATTCAAGATCTCGGAGAGAAACTGCGATCATTTACCCCTTTCCTCCTCTTCCTCATCTACTTCTTCCCATGGATTTTCTTGGTGCTTTGAATTTAAGAAGAATCTCCATTTCCGCTGTTATTCTGCTTTGGCGGCTGCGGAGGTGGTGACCGGCGGAATTAGAGGGATGCCGCTTCAGGGGGGCCTCCGAGGCGGATGGGATTTGTTGGGAGCGAAAGAGTATTTAGAATACAGGAGATCTCTCTACGGGGACATCACGCACAGGGCACTCCTGGTGGACGTCGCCGGCACTCTTCTCAAGCCCTCCCAGCCTGTACCACAAGTAAACTTTCTTATCCCTTATTATTATTGTTCTTCTGTTTTTACCTCTGTGAAACTTTTCGTTGATTAATGTTAGGATTTTTTTAAAACGTGCCAAGTTAGGATCTCGACATTTTCATTTTTTATAAGCGCGCTGGTATGAAGAAGATTATTTTATAGTTTTGTGTTTCAGGTATACCGACAGTTTGGAGAGAAATACGGTGTGCAGTTCTCTGAGGATGAGATACTGCAAAGATATCGCTGGGCTTATGAGCAGCCATGGGGTCGGTCTAGGCTGAGGTATGTGCATTCGTAATGCCCATGAGTTCTCATGAATACTTTCTTATACAGTTAATTTCTGTTTCGTGTTTATTTTACTTTCCTGGTTGTTGCCTGGATTTGAATCCTAACCATGTTTGGTACGAGTAATACCTTGCTATAAAAAATTCAACCAGTTCTTCTTAACGCATAAGAAAAAATCTCATATTTAATTCCGCAATGTATTTTTTATTATTTTTATTTCTTAATTTCTGACTTGTAGCTGAATCTCTGGGTTGGTAGAGCATTATTCTTGTAGTAATTGGAGAGGTTCTTCTGATCTTTCTATTTTTTTTTCCTGCTGAATTATTTGCAGATATTTTCATGTACTGTCATATTCATCTGATTCTTCAAGGCTTTATGCTTGGGTTACATTTTCATAAAAAAAAATCTGTTTCATTATTTTGGCTTTATTTTATCCTTGATGAATCATATATTGCTATTACTGTAACAAGAGTAATGATTAGATGGTTTTTCTAATCTTTTTGCCCGACCCAAATGTGTGCACGCAGGCCAGGATGACCTTCAAGTGTTTCATTCTAATTTTTAAGACATTTTACAATCAATTTAATTAGCATCCACAGAGTAATGAATTATTAAATTTGAAGTATTAAAAAGTCAACTATTTGTTAGCATCAAGTATACTTTTTTCCAGTTTTACTGTTAGCAATCGGTCCTGCGCATAGTCTTTTAATATGGGCAACAATTTTATGATGAATGAGTTGGTTTTTGACTGAAGTTAGTTTTTCATTTCGTGATCCAGCAACTTGTACAGTTGACTTTCTCTTGTACTTCCAGGTCGTGCTATTTGCATTAATGAAAAGGACATGGGAATTTTCTAATACTTCAAATTCTTTTATGCCTTTGAATATACAGCTGAGAAAATACTGCATAAAATTGCAGGGTAATTATCAACCATTATGCCACTTGTTTATCTTTAAAATTTAATAGTTAATTTACTTTTGTGCTCCCCGTTTATGATGATTATGATGGTTTAGAATCAGTTTCATTGTGTTTCTTTTCCTGTGTCTGGGCTCTGCCTAACTTCTCATTTGCTGATTTTTGTTCTTTTTTTTTTTGGGAGTGAACTTGCTGCATCTTGTTCTTCACTCAGCTTATTTATATTTATCCTCTTATTTATTTGTTTGATCAAAGACACAAGGAGGGTGAATCGATGAAATATTCATGATTTAGCATGAAGTGATAATTGAAATGGACCTTTTTATGTTATCTTTTTAATTTTTTGATTCTTACAAGTAGTAAATTTTAGCTTTTAATATCGACATTGACTTAATTGAATCGATTACTATATTTAAGTTATTTTATGGAAAAGCAGAAAAAGGAAATAACACAAAAAGAAAAAAAATATATAGTTTGGTCCTCAAACCTATGTCTATTACTTGGGCATACAAGAGAACATAATCACTATATTAATAACTAAAATACATTTGAGAGATTATATAATACATAGGGAGCTATCTCTAGAGCATTGAGAAAGGATAAGAAGAGAAGAAATAAATTCAGTTGGGAGAACTTAGATTTACGGGAAGTACAACTCTATATTATTGCATCACATGGGAAGAAAAAGAATGTAAAGTAATAAAGGTGCCCTTGAGTTTTCTATGACAATTTGGATGAAGATTGCAGTGTAGACTTTAGAGAGAACCCTTTAAGTTACCAATATCCAAATTACATGCAAACGGTGAGAATCCTTGGATGGCATTTGGAGATGATGATAGCTTGGAGAATATTTAGGAGTGTGGGAGGAGATAAATTAAAATTGGCAGTCTTTGAATGACCTGACGATTGGGTTTTTATAATCGAACAAATTGTTTTGATTTGTAGACTTGTGAGGATAATAGATTAATGGTTAGATTGTGTCAGAATAGAGGATAAGTCATCATCTTTTTCATAGTGATGGAGCAAAAAAATTAGAATTTAAGCTCTTAAATATGACAAAACTTTATTTTGATTGATCATGAGTTTATTATTTGGTATGTGTAGTTGTGTATAATATTGTTAACTCTTTACAATTGGCACGATATTTTTGATACCGTAGTATTTGCAATAATTATTTTTTAGAATCTATGGGAGGGATGTGTAAAGTCTTATGGAGTTTTTTTTTTATGAGAAAAGCATGTTTGCCAAGAGAGTAAACAAGGTTCCGCAGAGAGGCCATGACAATCTGGAGATGATCTCTCCTAAGAAGGCTTCCTGAGAGGAATTCATAGGAAGTGCTTTTGAGAAGGACTCCAAAGAGGAACCAAAGAGGAGCTCTTAAGAGCAATTCTCGATTCCTCCTTAGATGATTAACTTAAGTTCTTTTTGGTGTGGTGCTATAATGCTAATGTCTAATGTTATTTTGTTATAGACGTAATAAGCACAAATGCAGTGCTTACATAAAAATTGTAAATTTGTATTATTTATTGAACTATGACTGCGGCACATATAGCTTTAAATTCTATTGTTCTTTTTCAAACATTCAAAATTCATACTTAAAATTAACAACCTTTTCTTTTTTTTCCTGTGTTTTTTTTTTTTTTTTGCAATTAAGTATGAAGAGTTCAAAACAAGACCTCCTCAACCATACTGAGGTTTGAAAGCTTTAAGCGAAATAATAATGTTGCTATTACGATTGTTGTTAAATCAGGGATCGGCTTTAAGCCCATATCTTTTTTCTTTAGTTATGGATGCTCTTACTGTACATTTACAAGATGATTTACCTTAGTATATGTTTTTCGCTGATGATATCTTTCTTATGGATAAGATTAGAGAAAGAGTTTAAGAAAAAAATTTAATTATGGAGGTATATATTGGAGTCCAAAGGCTTTCGTTTGAGTAGGTCCAAATCTGAATACATGAAATGTACTTTTAGTAGTAAGAATTGTAGTGCAGAGTTGTAACTACGGGTGATCAAATTATTAAAATGTGTGAATTTGTTTAGATATCTCGGGTCTATTTTTCAAAGTGATAGTAATATAAATGGAATGCTATTAGTATAATTCAAGTTGGTTAATTGAAGTGGAGGAATGCATCGGGCCTATTGTGTGATAGAAAATACCGCTTAGACTTAAAAAGGAAACTTTTATTAGATGGTGCTGAGACCTATGGTGAGACCTACAATGCTTTATGATGCAGAATGTTGGTCATTAAAAGAGAAGCATGAAACAAAGTTAAGTGTTGTTGAGATGAGTTTAGGTGGATGAATGACTTGACACTTAGAGAAAAAATGTGAAATGAATATATCCTTGATAGGGATGGTATAACTCTAGTAGCGGACAAGATTAGAGAGAGTTGTCTTAGATGGTTTGGTCACATTAATCGTCGGCCATCTAATGATCTGGTTAGAGGAATAAATATTTTAGATCTGACCAATGTTAAGAAAGACAGAGGTAAACCTAAAATACTTGGATATATTGTATAGAAAATGATTTTAATCTATTAGAATTACATTAAAATATGATATAAATGATATTAAATAGGACACAATGGAGAAAAAAGATTCATGTAGCCGAGATATGGCGTTTTGTTGTTGTTGTAGGAAACCAAGTGTGAATATATATATGGAATCTCGACTCAAACTCGAGTTGAACTTGAACACTCTTTATTCGATCAAGCTATGTCCAATCCGTGACATACTTGACTCGATTGAGCTCGATTAATTTCCTAATCTAAACCAATAGGTTAATCTTCTTGGTAGTTTTTTCGGCAACATGGCCATATAAAATCGAAGGAGAAGAGCAAAGGAGAAGAAGGAACAGACCACGATTTTACTACCACCATGCGAAACAGTGGAGTTGACTCTTAGGTGAGGAAATTGAGTCAAGACTGAAGGTAGGAGAAGATGTGTGTGATGCTGGGTTGAGCCGTGACCAAAAGGCGGCCAAAGGAAGAAGAGAGAGTGCGTGCGTCTCTGTATCAAATTGAGACTGAAGGGAGAAGGAAGGGAGCTTGCGTGCGTGAACTAGTGCAACCGACCGAGCGTATATAAGGTAAATTTTTTTTAATTTTAAATAAATTAATTAATATATGTGTGTGCGTAAGAGAGTATATATTTATTTTTGTAATGTTAAAAAAAAGTTTACTTGAATCAGGGAGAATTTGGAGAAAGGAAGATTCAGTTTCAAGATTGAGGGTGAATCACTTTAAAAAATACGAATTGTTCTAATTAAAAAATAAATTTTAATTTACTTAATTTAAAATTAATATTTAAAAAATATTAATGTTTAACAGTATTTTAGGTTGAAGAACATTTGAGTCTAGAAGGTCAAGGGTTAGGGAATCATTGTGACAAGAAAATGGAGCGGGTGAGTAATTGTTTTCTTCTATTGTTAAATTTAAAGTTTATTAAATAAAAAAATTCTTTAATTCTTTAGGCAATTATTTTTATGATTATATGGATGTTGTAAGCTTAAAGTTTAAAGGAAATGAATGGGGTAAAGGGGAAATGATTATTTATTTTTTTTAAAATGAGGTAATATAAAGGAAGTGAAATGTAAATGTTTAAATCATATAGGATTACCCCTATATGGTACTATTAGGGGATGCAATATACCCGTGCACGTTAAAAAAAATTTTAAAGGTGTAAATTCGAGTGTAAATTTTGAGTATACATTCAGATATATTTTTCAAAGTACCTTCAGGTACATTTTTTACGATACCTTCAGATATGATCATAATTTTGTTATCACTCTTAAATAGGTTAAATATAGATAAATACTTAAATTGAAACGTCAAGGGATAAATTTAAAGTGAAAGTTTACATTTTTATAAAGTAATGAGTTATATTTTTTGTGTCATTCATATATAGCATTTGGATATGAATTTAATGCATATTAAGATTATAATTGCTCAATAGGTTTACTGTTGAAATTAATGATTCTTCAGGAAAAAGTTATAGATTGAGATGTCTAATAGGAGAGATTTAGTTTACAGGACTACGATTGAATCATGTTTTGTAGACTCTTCTTGTATTATTTTCT